GCAGATGATCTACTGAACCTACTGGGAATCAATGGAGCATCCGGGGACATCAACATGCCATGACTTTCTACATCTTTAGGTCATTATTTTATGTTATTTTACTTTAGGGGAGGCTGGCCTACTGCCAAAGAAGATGTCACCCTCCAGCATTATTTTCCTTTCTAACAATGCCACTGGAGCTTAGGTGGGCCCCCATCAGGTTTCTTACAAAATAAAGATAAAGGTGGCTGCAATCGGAGTTCTTCTTGGGCATGTACCTAAAAACAGGGTGAAGATGTGGGAGGGCTACCCATTCATGGTTTGTTTGTGAACTTGTGCAACCCAATGATGCTACAACCCTCCTAGAAGGGTTACCATAATGAGCAGGTCATAGATGAAGGTTAAGACTAAACATAATCTAGTGGAGAAGGAAATCGCCACCCACTCCAGTATTCTTCCAGAAGACCAAATGGATATTCACAACCAGGACAATGTTAATAGGAAACGGCCTCCCGCCCACCCCCCAATTGGAAGATATCCAGTGAATGACTGGGAAACAGCCGAGGCCAAGCATATATAGTTCTGGTTGTGGCTGAGTTGAAACTGAAAGGAGATCTCACTGCTGATGTGGCCGGAGGCAAAAGGAAATTTCAGTGCTGCAAAGATGAGCATTACCATTGGTATGTAGAATGTCAAAACCATGAACCAAAGAAAACTTTGAACAGAAATGTCATGACTAAACACTGACCTCCTGGGAATCAGCCATCTGAAATGGACTGGAAAGGGTCACTTCACATCAGAAGAGCATCAGATCTTTCTTTCCAGGCAAGACAATCATAGAAGAAAGGGAGCCATCATGATGAATAAAAGGGTGTCAAAATTATTGCTTGGATGTAGCACCCCCGAATGACAGGATAATCTGAGTTTGGGGTTGCCCTGCCCCAAACTGTAATGGTATGTGGGAATGACCTTGGGAGACCAGATGAAGAGATGCTGCCTAGGGAACAGTCAGATAAGAGGGAGCACAGCCCACAGCTGGATGGCTCAGCGGGGACCCTCCCTACGTTATTGGGCTGTAAAGGTAATGGCGGGACAGCTGTACTTTCAGACTTGCAAGATTCTGTCAATGTAGCTTTATAATAAAGTAAAATCAGCTCATCTGGTGGTGCTTCCTGTCTCGTCTACCTGGGAAGGTTGACACAAACCAGACTGGTGTGTGATTTGCGGGGGGGTCCTCCTGGACTCGTGGCTCCTGTTTGAGGAACAGGTGACCGTTGGGGTTAGGAGAGCTTTTGCACAACTTTGTCTTGTGTGCCAATTCAGTCTTCCTGGATCAGGAGGTACTGCACATGGTCACTCATGCCTTAGTCACCTCCCAAATGAATGTTTGAAATGTGCTGTATGTGAGGCTGACCTTGAAGATGATCTGGATTGGTCCAGCATGGGCAGTTATGGGTGCACCCATGTTGCACCTGTGCTTCACGAGCTGCACTGGTGTCCAAGATGCTTCTGAGTGCAATTCAAGGTGCTGATTGTTACCTCTAAAGGCCTTCCTGGCATGGGGCTGGATTATCTGTGAGACCACCTCTCAGCAATTGCTTCTCCCCATCTGACAAGATCCAACAGGAGAGGCATGGGTCCTCTCGATTCAAGATTGTCACCTGGCAGGACCAGACAGCAGACTTTTTCTGTTGCAGCACCCATGGAACAGAGTCCTTTTGGAGTAGGCAGCCTGAAGAAATCAAATAAATAGATATAACTACACTGCCCCCACCACCACCCCTTGCCCCAACCTTGCTGGCTTTTCAGAAAGCCTTGAAGACCTGGTTTTTTCCTGGGCATTAAGGGCCAAGAGCAGTGTTTCTCAACCTTGGCAATTTGAAGATGTATGGACTTCAAGCTGGCTGGGGAATTCTGGGAGTTGAAGTCCATACATCTTCAAACTGCCAAGGTTGAAAAACACTGCCCAAGAGGTTAGTTTGAGTCCATGTGATGCTGTGGTTTGGACAGCTGTTGTGGTTCTTGCCTATGGCAGCCATTTTGGTGTATACATATTATGAATTTGGGGCCAAGCATATTGTTGTTTATTGTTGCAGAGTTTTTTATTGTTTTTATATGCTGTTAGTGGCCCAGAGGTGCTATGGTGAGATGGACGGCCATGCGAATCATTTTTTTTTATTAGAGTTCAGGCCTTTCAATATAAACAGGGATCCATGTCTCTGCTCCTATCACAGATGTAGAGAAAGTTGAATAGTTCACTGATGAGTTGCTGTACTTTGCCAATACTGTATAACACCCAAAAAAGAAAAAAAAAAGTCGTACTTAGAGGTAACTGGAAAGTGAAAAGTTGGAAGTAAAATAGCCTTGCAAATAATGGGAAAAGTTGGCTTCAGTGTATAAAACCAAGCCAAAGACAGGTTAGCAGTGTTCTACCAAGAACATTCTGTGTTCATAGCAAATACCTTCTTCCAACACTCTAGAAGACAACTCCATACTTGAACATCACATGGACTACACTAAAATCAAATTGATGCTTTACTCAGTGAAGTATGTATGTAAAGATCAGCTCTCTGGAGAAGTATAATGTTGGAAAAGTGGAAGGAAAGAGAAGAAGAGGACGACCAGCAGCAAGGTGGATGGACTCAGTTGCAGTGGTGATGGGGGCACTGTTGGAAGAGCTGAAGGACCAGGTTAGGGACAGACCACCATGGAGAAAATCTATCTGGCCGCTAAGAGTCAACACTGACTTGATGGCACATAATCAATCAATCAATCAATCAATCAATCAATCAATCAATCAATGCTAAGACACAGCTCCTTTGAGAAGCCTATGATGCTGGGA